TGGTTGCTAGGGACGATGCCTCACCTCCCAAGCAGCAGGAGAGATCGGTTGGACCTGGGTCACTTAGACACTCGGTGCAGGTGTATCCTGAGAGACACCGTGAGTCAGAACAAAACGAGGCAAAGACTGACTCCTAGGTTCAGGGGAGGAATATGCATGCACATGGTGTGTGTGTGTGTGTGTGTGTGTGTGTGTGTGTGTGTGTGTGTGTGTGTGTGTGTGTGTGTTACTGCTATGAATAAAGAGATGGGGAGCCCAGTTATGGAGTCTTGCTGTTGTTTTGTTTTAAGACATGAGCTTCCTATGTAACTGAGGCTGACCTCACTCACAATCCTCCTGCCTCACCCTCCCCAGCACTAGGAACACCAGTGTATGTTAATATGTCAGGTTTCTGATTGTAACACTGGATGATTTTTTGATGTTGTTGGCTGGTTGGTTGGTTTGAGACAGGGTCTCACTATGCCACCCCGGCTATCCTGGAGCTCACTCTGTAGATCAAGCTGGCCTCAGATTCACAGAGGTCTACCTGCCTCCAACTCCCAAGTTAGTTGGAGGCTTTGAACCACATAGGGGAGACTCTGGTCCTGCGTGCCTCTGTTTCTAGGAGACTGATGGGAACCCAGGGCTTTGTTTTGTGTATTTCTGCCAAGAATCTCTCTTTTTAGTTGAAAGTCTTGACTTTTCCCTTTGCTTAAGGCTGTTTGAGTTGGATTTCAATCAGTTGCAAGTGAAAGAGGCCCAAAGAAGCTAGGGAAGATTCTAGTGAAAGAGCCTGTGCTGGAAGTCAGGGGCCCTAGGTGGGGGTCCTCATTCTCAATAACCTAGGTTTGGTTCTAGGCTTCTGGATTTGGTAGGTCGTATCTTCTCTCTGGGCTCAGTTTCCCATTTGTAGACAGAGTTTTAAATTTCACCGATCAGAATAAATTATCATAATTCATAATGAATAGCCACAGCACCAACAATTCTCACCCCTAATTTATAAAAGAAAGGGTATCTGTTCTTGGTTGTTCGATTTGTTTTGACACAAGTATCACAACATTGCCCAGGCTGATCTTGAACCCTTGAAGCTCAAGCTTTCATCTTGCCTCCTGCGTAGCTGAAATTGTAGGCACATGCCGCTGCACCAGGCAGGGAGAGGCTATCTTAACACCAGAAGTATAAAGGCCAAAACTTCAAAACTGAACAAATTCATATCTAAAAAAGGGTGGCATGCACTTGTAATCCCTGCACTCAGAAGGCTGAGGCAGGAGGATTTTGAGTTTGAGGCCGGCTTGTACAATGTAGTGAGCTCCTGTTTCAAAACACCACTGACAATAGAAGACAGACATGGTGTCCTGATCCGTGATCACGGCACCTGGGAGGCTGGGGCAAGAAGGACCCAAGGTTGAGGCAGGTCTGGGCTGCACAGTGAGCTCCAGGGCCGTCAGCTCCGTAGACAGATACACTGTGGCCAAAGAAACAAGCCTAGTGAGTAAGAGTGTATGCTGCACAAAATGAGGGCCTGAATTCAAATCTACCGAAGCCACATCAAAATCAAGTGGAGCCACTCGTGCCTGTAACCCCAGCGCTGAGGGGGTCTAGAGAAAGAACTGCCGGGCCTGTGCCAGTCTAGCTTCTGGTTCTGTGAGGGACCCCATCTCAAGTGAGGGGTGACAGAGAAAGTCCCTTCTCTGACCTCCACATACATGCTGGCAGTCAGGTACACACACACACACACACACACACACACACACACACAAGAAAACCACTAAAAACAAAAAGAAAAGCACCAAACAAATATATTCTAAAAGAAGAAAACTCAATTACATTATATTTCTCTCCTCTGTGCCCAGACAGGAGGAATGTCAACCAGACTCGTCCTGCTCTGATGTCTGGTGCTTGGAAACATAAATCTCAAGAATGCCCAGGTCTGGGTTCACACTCCACTGTGGTCCAGTTCATCGTTCAGCTTTGCCTCGTTATCTGAAACTGCCAGCCTGTGAATTATCATTAGTCCTGCCTGGACCCATCTAGTTTGTCCTGGACTTTTCACACCCTGAAGATGCCAGAGAATAAGTCTGGGCTTTGGTTGGGGCAGATAGACCAAGCCTTCTTACCCCAGACTGTCTCTTGTGGTCCTAGGAGTTCAGTGACAGCAGCCGGGCAGTGGTGGCATGCACCTTTAATCCCAGCACTGGAGAGACAGAGGCAAGTGGATCTCTGTGAGTTCAAGGCCAGCCTGATCTACAAAGCGAGTTCTGGGACAGCCAGAGTTATACAGAGAAACCCTGTCTCAAACAACAACAAGAGGTCAGTGACATCTCCTGTGTGCCCTGATGATCCTTACAGAGGGCACTTCAGCTCTCAAGCTTGATCTCTCTGGGACCCTCCCAACGGTCCCAGAGAAGTGATTATTATTTCCCAGGTATGTAACTAACCTGTCCAAGGTCTCATAGTTGACATCCCAAGTGAGGTCTCCCTGACTCTTAAGCCCTAATCCTCACCCTTGTAAAGAAAGAAGGGATTTATGTCCCATTTTGCCATTCTGTTGAGGCAGGAGGATTATGAGTTTGAAGCCTGTCCTTCTCAGAGAAAGGAAGTCATGAGCTCAAACCATCCAGGAGCCGGCCTGCACATCCAGCCCCAATTCGCCGCTTCGCAGGTCATCATCACCCAGCCCTAGCTCATTCTAGAAGCTGACCCACAAACAAGCTTTGGAAAGAGAATCTGGGAAAAGGAGGGGGGATAGGTGGGGGAGATTATGAGTGAATGAGACTAAACATGTGTCTCGTGAACCAGAGCATCCTGTCCTGAGTCCCAGTGCCAACATGGCTCAAAGAGACCTTCGGTGAGATGCTTGGCATAGAGTTGAGAGCCGAGAGCCGGGGCTGGGTGGGAGGAGCCTGGATTCAGGGCAGCCGGCCCTAAAAGGCAAATCATCTTCTTGGTATTATCTCTCAAAGCTGATTCTGGACTCCTGGGCTCAACTACAGTCTGTTTCCTCAGACTGTAAAATCAGGTTTTAGGGGCTGGCTGGGAAGGAGAGCAAGATAACGAATTCCTTGACTTTGGATCGGAAGGAGCCTGAAGACAAGCTAACTCTGCCCTCATCCCCATTTCCTTGTAGCCCCCTCCCCCACTAGCCCTTCTCACTGAAAACAGCAGCGCCCCCATCCCCCCCCCTCATTCCCTGCCTGCTGGGAAGTCGTCCAGGTAAATTCCTGAGTGTGTCTCAGGTCCCTTTACCTCCTCCTCCTCCACCAGCAAATACAAGCCAGTGCCCTCTCCTACGGGCCCTCCTGCCTCCCTCCCAAGTCAGTTCCTCATAGCTTCTTCTCAGACCTGAAGCCACAGGGACAATTTAAACCCGATCATATCATTTGTTCGAACCCTCTAATAACGTCTCACTTGACTCAGACAAAAATAAAAATCACACTATCACACTATGCATGGTGGTACACACGGCAAGTCTAGCACTTGGAGGGGGTGGCAGACCAATTGGGCCAGCCTTGGTGACCTTGCCTCAAAAAAAAAAAAAAAGAAAAAAAAAAAAGCCTTACCTTGGTCACCTGCTCTGTACCCTCCAACCGTCTCATACCAAGGGCCTCATCCCTAACTCCCTGAATTGCAACCCCAAAGAACTCAGGTCCCCAAATAAACTCAAGGTCCCTACTCAAGTCATTCCTCCTGTTGATCCTTCAACCTAATGCTCCTTCCTATCACCCCAAATCTGCCCCAGAGGCCTTCCCTGGCCGACTCCTAAAGCCAAATCCTGCTTGCTTCCCATCAAGCACCTGCCTCCATCTTTCGGAACACCCATGACGACTTGGTGATGTCCCTTCATGACTTTGGTTGCTTGTTGATTTTTTTTTTTTTTTTTTTGTCTCCCCTGCGATCTGTAATTTCCATGAGTCGGTCTGTTCACAGCGGTAGCTCCCCAGCACAGTGTCTGGCACACGATGGGCACTCAAGAAATACTTGGGAATAAAAGAGCAAGTCACCATAGACCTCTGGGCTGGGAGTCTTCTCTGCATCGCTCCCCATTGCTCTCTGCCTCCAGAAGGCAGGTCCTTGGAAGGGAGCTGGCGAGATGTCAAATTGGCTGGTTTCTAAGCCTGTAAGAAGGTTTTTTTTTTGGGGGGGGGGGCGGAGGGGCGGCAGGGTGGAGGGTTGCTGAAGGTGGCAGTGGAATAATGCCAGCTTCTGAGAGGAGGCTGGAAACAATGGCAACTCCCAAGTACCCCCTCTGGGGCTCCCAAAGGCACCTTGCTTAGCCTGTTCTCCCTCATAGAAAAGGGGCTCCCTTGGATGGGCCATGCAAAGTTGCTAAGACTGTGCACCCAGAGGGAGCAGCTGGGAGGACCACCAGGTGGGAGTCTGTATCTCGGGCGGGAAACACATTGTTTCAGAAGAAGCCTGTGTATCTACCTCAGGGCCGCAGGGCATCAGAAACAGGACTTTGGGCCTGGCTACCACAGGGTCCCTTACTGAATCCCTGGTGGGGAGTAGACACTACTCCCACAAGAGCGCGAGCGCCTATCGGCCTGGCTTTCTGGGCGTTGGCCCAGCCTTCTTGGGGGAGGTTGACCACCCTTGGCTGGAGAGTAGCATCGTGTGACACCCCCAGGTCCTGGCAAGAAGCCCCAAGACTCTGGGCAAGAATGGGTCTATAGGTTCCAGGAAGTCTTCTGTGGAGGCACATCTGGGCCCCAGGGATCAGTGCGCAGGAAAGGAAGCCCCCTGGGAGCCAGAGAGGCTCAGAGGAGCATTAGTAACTGGCTATGGGCTCCTCTCCCTCCCGTCCCCTGCAAAAGAAGACTCTGCAGCCCGAATAAGTGGCTGCTAAGCCTTCTCTAATGGTTTGTTTGTTTCCCTGTACACAGTGAAAAAAATAAATGTGTGATCAACAAACTTGGTGAATGGGCACACCCCCACCCCCACCCCCACGGCCCCTTAGTGGTGCCTCCATTGACAGGGCTGAGGTCACAGTGGGGTGATGCTTCTGCGATGACACCCAGACCCTGAACAGTAATGTGACTATTAGTCACTTGAAGCCTGGGGTCTTGAGAGAAAAGGGAAGGGTGGCATCCAAGCAGAGGTGGCAAGAATCCCACAGACTCTTTGTAGGTGTGAATTCTTCAAGTGACCCTCCTGGGCTTTTGACAAAAACAAACAAAAAAAACCTTGTATGAACTCCTGTACCTCAGGCTCAGGGAACAGTGTGGACGAGACGGGTGGGAAGACTGTGAGAGCCAGAGGGAGGTTGCTGTGAGACTGTGTCTCCTTGGAGAAGATGCATCCAGGAAGTCTCACCAACATGACTGCCTAAACCTGAGTGAGCAAGGAGGACACCAATAGACACGCCAAAGTGGACGGGGAAAGACCCTGGGGCCTCAACCCGACACAACGGACTACAGGCAACTATAGAATGCTGAGAGCGGGAGAAACAGGCTTCCCCAGGGAAGAGCAGGCCAATCGGTTATCTGGTATCCAACAGTATACAGACAGTTTATATTTAGGACTGTGTGTGTGTGTGTAGGTCTATATGTATACATATATGCATGTGACAATTACTGAAAAAGAGGCCATGAATTTCAAAGAGAACAAGGATGGGTATATGGGAGGTTTAGAGGGAGGGAAGGGAAAGGAGAAATGTAATAATAATAATAATAATAATAATAAAAAACAACCCTGGTATGACCATTCTGAAATTTGAGAGGGCTTGTAGAACTAAATGCAACATTGTGACTATGCAGTGACTGTGGCCACTGTCTCCTGTTAGGGGCATCTCATGGAGGGGTTGCTGCTGCCCCTGGGTCCAGAATGTTCTCTGCATCCTCACTATCCATCTTTTTATTCCTGCGGAATCCCTTCTCAGTCCTGAAAAGGCTTTCATGTCTGTGGTTTGCTTGGAGTCAAGTGGCCCTGCAACCTGCATGCAGTAATGGATCGTCTGGGCTGATGATAAAATGAACGTTCCCGGGCTCTCTTTAAAGATTCTTATTGATGAGTCTCGGAGGCTCGAGTCTCTATTCCCAAGAACATCCCAGTGTTTCTGAGCTATCTACCCAGTCCCACCTCTTTTAACAGGGTTCCAAGGCTGGCCTACAGCTCTCCATCCTCCTGCCTCAACTCCTTAGACCCCATGAGAATCATCGTGCAAACAGCTAGCTTCTGAATTGTTTGTTTTTAACTTAAGTAATACTGTAATGGGCACTTTGTAGCGATGACTCCCACCCGCCTCTTACATCACTTTCTTTGGCCATATCTGTAGAAATGAGACTAGAATCAAAGGGTAGAAACGGTGTTTTAGGTTTTGTGATATTAGCATCCAGGAAATCTGCACTACCAAACATGAAATTGTATCACTTAAATGGATTTTACTTCGTTTTGAGACAGGATCTTGCATAGCACAGGCTGGCCTTGAACTCCTGATCCCCTACCTCCACCTCTTGAGTGTTGGGGTTATAGCCATACACCACTATGCTTGGCTAAAATTGATTTCTGTTCTGTTTGAGACAGAGTTTCATATATTGCAGCCTGCCTTTGAACTCACTATGTAGCCAAGGCTGGCCTTTAACTCCTGATCACCCTGGGGCAGGGTGGGAGTGGGAGGTAGAAGTAGAGGGCTGGTTATTGAGACAATGTTTTACTACACAGACCAGGCTGGTTTCAAACTCACAGAGATCTGCTTCCCAGGTGCTGGGATTAAAAATGTGCTCTGCCAGACTGGCCTTAAATTGATTTTATAACAATGTAAGAGTTGAAGCAGGAGAATGAAGGGTGGGAGGCTAGCCTGGGATGCACAGTGAAGCTCTGTCTCAAAAATAAAGAGTGGGGGAAAGGAACAGGGGAGATGGTTCAGGAACCCCGATGGCCCACCTGTAATTCTGGTCTCAGAAGTGAGAGGCAGGTTCCCCCAGAACACACTAGCCAGCAAGATTAGTCACACTGGCAGAGAATGAAATGGAAGAATAATTGAAGGTGATTCCCCATATCAACACTGGGCCTTCATATGCAGCATACTTCTCCACACATGTGCAGTACACACACACACACACACACACACACACACACACACACACATACACACACACACAAAAACAAATCACAGACAAGCTGTCTAGACTGCAAGTTCAAGGTCTGCAGTGAAGTTCCTCATTGTCCTATTTATTTATGTGTGTGAACTATTCCTTTGGTCCTTATCAAAACGGATCAGGATTCTGGCTTTTTTTTTTTTTTAACTTGGGGCAGTTCCTCAGTTATTTTGGGCAGAATGCTTTATTTGCTGCATGGGTTTCTCTCCCATCTGTGGCTTTCATTTCCCTGTTTGCTTTATTGCATTTGGTGGCACAAAAAGGCTTTTAAGAACAGATTTAGATCCGTCCCTCCTGCCTCTGATGTCTGTTGCAGGGATAGTTAAAATGCTTTCTCCCGGCACAGCTGAAAGTCATCTGCATCTCCATTTCTTTCTCTGGCTTCTTAGGGCCCATTTGGAGTATACTGTGATGCGTGGTGTGGAAAAGATGGAGCCAAGCTGATTGTGAGTCGCTGCGGATGTCCCACCGTTTGCTGAAGAACGACTCTTTCTTGCACTGTTGTGTCCAGGCTTGTTCATATTAAGCCAAGTCCTTAAATAACAAATCTGTTTTAACGGAGTCTCTGTGAGTCCCCTCACTTTTCTTTGTTTTTGAGACAAGGCCTCACTGTGTATCAGTGGCTGGCCTCGAACTCACAAAGATCAATCTGACTCTGCCTCCCAAGTGCTGGGATGAAAGGTGTGCGCCACTGCACTCGACTATCTTTTCTTATTTTTGTCCTGGTAAAATATAGTGATTGATTATTTTAAGTTCGTCAGCACATTTCTTTTCCCTCCAAAGGTATTTTTTTGAGCTGGACATGGTAGCACCTGCCTGTACTGACAAGGCTGAGGAGGAGTGGATCACAGGTTCCTGTCAGGATGGGGCTACATTGTGAGGCCCTGTCTCAAACAGGAACAAAACCTTAAACACACACACACACACACACACACACACACACACACACACACACACACAACTTTTCCCTTTCAGACTCCAAATAAATTTTAACATTTATATAATTT